GCACCTAGACTCATCTTTTAATAAAAGATCGACTAAACTGGCCTTCAACCAATTCCTACATAACCATGACCTCTATGACATCTGGAGATGTCAACATAGCAACGAGAAAGACTTCACCTACTACTCCCCCATCCGCATCTTTCATACTCCAGAATCGATTTTTTCCTCACGGACAAATGGACACTGCAACATATAACATCATCTACAATTGGCACGATAACATGGTCTGACCATGCTCCTATTCATATCTCAGTAGACGAAAACCAGCGCTCAGCAATTCCGCCAATTTGGAGATTAAACTCTGCAATCCTGAAGAACCCTGAATACCAGAAACATATTTTAGAAGCTCATAACTTGTTTTTTGAGACTAATGCAACTCCGAACATGCCTATAACCACGCTCTGGCCCACCTATAAGGCTTACATGAGAGGTATCCTCATACAATTAAATTCCCGCATTAAAAAACAAAGATCCCATCAAATAGATCAGATTCTCTCCTCCATTAAACGTAACGAAGAAATTAACAAAACCAATCCAAATGCCATCATAGCCGAGTCCCTGGCCTCTGATAGAAACAAACTACGAATACTTTTATTACATGAATACGACCTCAACCTACAGAGAGCTAAATCCAAATTTTACGCGCTTGGTAATAAAGCAAATGCACTCCTATCAAAAATGATTAAACAAAAGCGACTTAAAACTAAGATAGCCTCGATTAAACACCCCACTACCCAAGCATTGCTCACAAACCCTCGAGACATATCTGACGCGTTTGCGACATATTACCACACATTATACAACCTCAAAGATGATATTAATACGCCCCAACCCACCGCCAATACCATTCAACATTTCCTAGATAATACCAATTTACCCAGTCTCTCAGCGTCCCAACTTACCTCGCTATCGACACCAATCTGCCCTGCAGAAATTGACCGTGGCATAAAAACATTACCCCTAAACAAATCCCCAGGAAATGACGGTTTTACCAACGAATACTTCAAAATAATGGCATCCAACCTTACAACACATCTTTCTGAATTATTTAACCATGTTGCCTCTACGGGGATATTCCCCGCTGAAATGTTACAGTCAGTAATTATAACCATTCCCAAACCAAACAAAGATCCCCAACTGGTACAAAACTATAGACCGATCTCGTTATTAAACACGGACATAAAGCTATATGCCAAAATAATTGCCCAAAGATTACTTCCTTACCTCCCCACGCTAATCCACCCTGACCAGGTAGGTTTTGTCCCCGGTAGACAAGCCCCGGACGCTACTAGAAGAATAATATCCCTCCTCCACAAGCTTGAAACCACCAAACGACCATCATTGTTACTATCTTTAGACGCTGGAAAAGCATTCGACCGAATCCATTGGCTTTTTATGAAACTCACACTCCAAAAAATTTGGTCTTATAGACTGGATGTTGTCGGCAATACTCGCCCTCTACTCCAAACCTTCTGCTACAGTCTTAACTAATGGCACACTCTCCAAGCCCTTCCAAATCTCTAATGGCACTAGACAAGGCTGCCCCCTCTCTCCTATAATCTTCACTCTATTAATTGAACCCTTGGCCTCTAAACTCAGAGATGACCCAACAGTCACAGGCATTACACATTCCAAAATGGACCATAAAATTAGCCTTTTTGCTGATGATATCATCCTAATGGTCACTAATCCCTACAAATCTCTTCAATCGATACGCATGCATCTTCACAATTACTCTGAAGTCTCTTACTACAAGCTCAATGAGCCAAAATCCTCCATTTTGAACCTATATACCCCTCCTAAGACCCAAAATATACCGAGCAAACAGTTCCCCTTCACATGGGAATCACACAGCATTCCATACCTGGGAATACAACTTACGCCCTCAACTAACCAACTATATGAAGCTAACTATAAACCTCTACTTGACTCCATTCCACGAGAGCTCAAACAACTCCATACTCCCACATTATCGACAATGGGTAAAATAGCATCTTTAAAAATGTGCATATTACCTATTAAAATACTGTATATTTTCCGTACCCTTCCTATTCCAGTTCCTAATACCTTTTTTAATAAACTCCAAGCGATACTAAATAAATTTATGTGGAAAAACAAAAAGCCTAGATGCACGACAAATCTACTAATAAGACCTTCCTCCAGGGGCGGAGCAGGCCATCCTCATTTAAAATCTTACTACAACGCTGTGCTCCTAGACCAGCTCTTCTTTTGGTGGCATCCTACAAAAGACAAATTGTGGATTCACTTAGAAACTCCGTCACATCTCCCATATACTCCTGATAATCTATTATTCCTCCCTCTAAATAGCCAAACTCTCTCATTATCTAAACACCCATGTATAAAAGCTTCTTTACAAGCCTGGTTTGACCTCTTGTCCTCTCATTACCCAAGCAATGAAACAACAAAAATTCCTACTCCAATCTCTACATTGCACCTCATCATCCCCTCACTAAACCTCACACAATGGGAAAATTAAGGTATAACCCGTATCCGTGACTTATATACAGTTCATAAGCTAAAATCTTTTGTTACCCTCCAAACACAGTTTCACCTCCCTGATAATGAACAATTCTCATACATGAGAATCGCCCACGCCTTGCATACAATGGATATACCTCAAGAACGAATAATTCCCTCCAGAGCACACCTTTTTTTTCAGAGATCACATTACCCCAAAAAGGGAATCTCAACCTTCTACTCCATTATGAATGACTCTCAGTTTAATATTCACACTGCTTCCCTGATTAACTGGGAAAAAAAATATATTCAGTCTCTCCTTGCACTTGGTCGAAAACCTTCAATACCACATACAAGGCATCCAAATGTAACTCCCATTGGGAAGCATACATGAAAATCTTACATCAGTGGTATCTAACGCCTGTTAAGCTCAATCTCTATTACACACAACATTCGCCCAAGTGCTGGAGACACTGTGGAGAAATAGGAACGCTCCTCCATATACTTTGGGCTTGTAAATCTCTCACATCTTATTGGAACAAAGTATTTCAGCTGATCTCCACCATATCTACAGTTCCAACGACTCCAAACCCAGTTCTAGCTCTCCTTCATATAGGAATAGATAATTTTCCTGTGGACTCTCGTACTATCATAATTCATATACTAGCAATAGCAAAAAACAATATTACTAAATTGTGGAAATCTACCACATCCCCTTTGTTCTCAACCCTCATTATAGAACTTAATCTCCATTGTGAGATGGAAAAGAGAACAGCAATTCAAAATTTTTCATACCACAAATTCTGCCTTCAATGGTCTCGGTGGCTCCAAGACCCTAATTGCTCTGTTAAGTGACAACTACGACAATATACTACCATACTGTAACTAACTCATTGGACTGGTGCCCCCCCCCCCCCTTCCCCCCCCCCCCCCTCTATCTGCCTTCTAACCCTTCTCCCCTCTACGGTTTATCACATATTCATCCACACTTTGTTCACAATCTTCTGAGCATACCTCTCAAGTATCCGAGGCCTTGCTACATCATTCCCGGCTAAATGATGGAAAATTGTGTGTTTTCTCTAATAATTACCTGTTTTCTTGATTATACATTTTCTTATTGTGAACGTTGATCGTTTTATATATCTGTAATAGGTTGTGGTAAATTGTTGAAAATTTCTTCAATAAAAATATTTGAACAGAAAAAAATTACTTTTATATTTTTTTTAATATATTTTTCAGATTTAGTATAACATATATTTTTACATATACTTGTAAATGTATTCCAAAAATGTAGATTTGTATTTTTAGAGACATACAGTATATTTGAAATGTATTCTTAAAAATATTTTTCATATATTTTGTAATAAAAACACATTTCAACATGCAGTGTGTATGTGTACTGTATATATATATTTATTTTTATATATATACCGTATTTTCCGGCGTATAAGACGACTTTTCAACCCCTGAAAATCTTCTGAAAAGTCGGGGGTCGTCTTATACGCCGGTGCGAGCCGGGTCAGAGTGGCACTTTTTCGAGGGGCGGGCGCGGCGCCGCCCCCCCTCCTCCTCCAACGGACACTAAGTACAGGGGTGGGCAGAGGGGCTGCTGTACCTTACATGGCTCCGGTCCCGCGACGATCCGGTCCAGGAAGCGCGGCTGTTTCCCTCTTTCAGTTCGGGCCGCTCGATGGTCACGTGCGGCCGCTCGGCTCCGCCTCCTCACCGGTGATTGGGCGCCAGCACTGGAAAGGCACACAGGCGACCAATCACCGGCGAGGAGGCGGAGCCGAGCGGCCCCGCGAAAATCGAGCGGCCGAACTTGAAGAAGGAGCAGCCGCTCCTCTCCCCCACTGACACTAACGATGGGGCACTATTCCTCCTGACACCACACTGACACTGTTCTCCCCACTGATACCAACGATGAGGCACTGTTCCTCCCCACACTGACACCAACGATGAGGCACTGTTCCTCCCCCACTGACACCAACGATGAGGCACTGTTCCTCCCCCACTGACACCAACGATGAGGCACTGTTCTCCCCCACACTGATACCATGATGGGGCACTATTCCTCCTCCCCACTGACACCAATGATGGGGCACTATTCTCCCCACTGATATCAATGATGGGGCACTATTCCTCCCCCACTGACACCAACGATGGGGCACTATTCCTCCTCCCCACTGACACCAACGATGGGGCACTATTCTCCCCACTGACACCAATGATGGGGCGCAATTCCTCCCACTGACACGAATGATGGGGCACTATTCCTCCCACTGATACCAATGATGGGGCGCAATTCCTCCCACTGACACTAATGATGGGACACTATTCCTCCCACTGACACCAATGATGGGGCACGATTCTTCCCACTGACACCAATGATGGGGCACTATTCCTCCCACTGACTAATGATGGGGCACTATTCCTCCCACTGACACCAATGATGAGGCACTACTCCTCCCACTGACACCAATGATGGGGCACTATTCCTCCCACTGACTAATGATGGGGCACTATTCCTCCCACTGACTAATGATGGGGCACTATTCCTCCCAGTGACTAATGATGGGGCACTATTCCTCCCACTGACTAATGATGGGGCACTATTCCTCCCACTGACACCAATTATGAGGCACTACTCCTTCCACTGACACCAATGATGGGGCACTATTCCTCCCACTGACTAATGATGGGGCACTATTCCTCCCACTGACTAATGATGTTGCACTATTCCTCACACACTGACACTAATGATGGGGCAACATCATTGGTGTCAGTGGGAGGAATAGTGTCCCATCATTGGTATCAGGGGGAGGAATAGTGCCCCATCATTGGTGTCAGTGGATGAAATAGTGCCCCATCATTGGTGTTAGTGGGAGGAGTAGTGCCTCATCATTGGTGTCAGTGGGAGGAATAGCACCCCATCATTGGAATACCATACTGAAATAGCATACCATATTGAAATCAAATCTGATGTTTTTTCATTTGGTGTGCGTTGGAAGAGGGTTAGTCTTATACGGCGAGTATAGCTCAAACCCTATATTTTAACAGGAAAAGTAGGGGGTCGTCTTATACGCCCAGTTGTCTTATACGCCGGAAAATACGGTGGTATATATATATATATATATATATATATATATATATTTATATTGAATGTGGCCAAAATGGTAGCATTTCAAATATATGGCAATATATTTGGGAAGAATATTTTTTAAATATATTTCAAAATTTTTCTTCCATATGGGTAGCCATGGTTCAAAGTCCATGCAGTGCACATACATTTAATGATATTTTCAAGGAAAAGTGTGTCAGACTTTTACCCACAAATGTCAAGATAATATTCATCAAAATGAACAATCACTACTACCCATGAAACACACACTAGCCACAACACCATCTCACCATCTTTATTGTCATCCTAACCATAATTACTAGCATCTGCTTATAAAATGTACAACAGTCTATATCCTCCACCAGCAGTGTCACAACAACCAACTAGTTAGTGGTAAATGAACGCAATATGTTGTCACGGGTTGCAGTAAATAGCAGTATGCACATAATGAGTAAGTAAAGGATTAGGTCAATCACAGTTCACTAGACAATATGTTAACTAGACTATAGTGGCATAGAATAAATCTGTAGGCAGCTAAATTGGAGTAAACCTGGTAATCCACAAAATCAGAAATAAGTAACAGCATTAGAAAACAATAACAATGATACTCAATGCTTCGACAACTCCTCTATAAACAGTAGGCTATAACCATTTTAGAGTGTACTCTATACAGTATATGAATGTCACCAATGAAATGTAGCCTTAAAGAGGTAGAAGGGTTAGACAAAAAAAATGGAAACACTACATGATTTGCAGATATGAAAGTGACATGTTTCATGTTGAAAGTAGAAACGATATAACATTCTTTTGCTTCCGCTGTGTGATGAGACAGCTAGCTAACAGGTGGAAAGCCTCACTTTCGTCATTCACGGCGTGTGCTGCTAATAATATGAAGTCATGTCAGAGCTTCAAAGAGGGCAAATTGTTGGTGCCTTGGTGATCTTAGCTAGTGCCTCTGTGACACTGAAGTTGCCAATGTATTTGCTGTGTCACAAGGCATGGTATCAAAGGTTATGAAAGTATATACAGTTTCAGGGAAATTTTCATCTGATAAGCGTAAGCTAGGTCGACATAGTCCATTGACCAAAAGAGATGAAAAGGACATTGCACAGAATTGTGAATTAACATTTTTTTCTCTTCTCATCTTTTCTGACTGTTTTGCATTTGGCTAGGGTCAGTGTCACTACTGATAGCATGAGGCGATACCTGGACCCTACAGAGGTTGCACAGGCAGTTCATCAATATGTGCCATTGCCAGAAGGTTTGCTATATCTCCCAGCACAGTCTCAAGAGCATGGAGGAGATTCCAAGAGACAGAAAGTTACACTAGGAGAGTTGAACAGGGCCATAGAAGGTTCTTACCCAGCAGCAGGACTGGTATCTGCTCCTTTATGCAAGGAGGAACAGGATGACCACTGCCAGAGTCCTACAAAATGACCTCCAGAAGGCCACTGGTGTCAATGTCTCTAACAAAACAATCAGAAACGGACTTCATGAGGGTGGCCTGAGGGCCCGTTGTCCTCTAGTGGGCCCTGTGCTCACTGCCTGGCACCATAGAGCTCGACTGGCATTTGCCACTGAACACCAGAATTGGCAGGTCTGCCACTGGCGCCCTGTACTTTTTACAGATGAGAGCAGGTTCACCCTGAGTACATGTGACAAACGTGAAAGGGTCTGGAGAAGCTGTGGAGAACGTTATGCTGCCTGTAACATCCTTCAGCATGACCGTTTTGGTGGTGGGTCAGTGATGGTCTGGGGAAGCATATCTATGAAGGGACACACAGACCTCTAGAGGCTAGACAATAGCTCCCTGACTGCCATTAGGTATCAGGATGAAATCCTTGGACCCACTGTCAGACACTACGCTGTTGCAGTGGGTCCTGGGTTCCTCCTGATGCACGGCAATGCCTGGCTTCATGTGGCGAGAGTATGCAGGTAGTCACCTGACCTAAATCCAATAGAACACACCTCTGGGATATCATGTTTCGGTCCATCCAGCGCCACCAAGTTGCACCTCAGACTGTCCAGGAGCTCAGTGATGTTCTGGTCCAGATCTGGGAGGAAATACCCCAGGACAACATCCATGGTCTCATTAGGAGCATGCCCCAATGTTATCAGGCATGCATACAAGAACTTGGGGGCCATACAAACTACTGAGTACTATTTTGAGTTGCTGCAATGAAATTTCAGCAAAATGGACTAGTCTGCTGCATCATTTTTTTTACTTTGATTTTCAGGTATCTTTGAATTCAGTCCTCTGTAGGTTGATAATTTTCATTTCCATCAAATGATGGAATCCTTACGTTCCTAACACATTACCCAGTCCATATCAGTATAGATATCCAGCATGATATTTTTCCCCAGATCTGAGATCTGATGTGTTTTTCAAAATGTTCCTTTAATTTTTTTGAGCAGTGTATTTTGTTTTAAAATTTAAAATTGAACTGTATGGTAATAAATACTGACTTTAACCACTTGCCCTCTGCCATATAGCAATTTCCAGAGGAAATCTTCAGCTGTGAACTGTACCAGCACAAAACGATTTACATGCCCCAGCGAGCAACTGCAGATCATCAGTCAGGAAGGAAGAACAGAGCTATGGCTATGCTTACATAGCCATAGCCAGGGGCGGACTGACCATTCGAGCGCTCGGGCACTGCCCAAGAGCCCAGGATCAGTAGGGGGCCCCATGAGATGCCCCTGGTACCTTTCATTGGCTTTTTCATAGGCTTTTTTGAGTGTGGGCGAGGACACAGGGGCCCCATGATCCCCTATTGCCCGGGGGCCCCATGAGTTGTCAGTCCACCCCTGGCCATAGCACTGTTATGACAAGGGAAAACCATGAATCGTTTCTCTCTGTAGAGCTGAGAACACGATTCATCACTTCCTATAGTAAAAGCACCACCTAGTGTACATCAAGCACATAGCTGGGCACACACTTAACCCTTTGCTCACCCTAGATGTTAACCCCTTCTCAGTCAGTGTCATTAGAACAGTGTCAGTGCATATTTTTCGCTCTGATCACTGTATTAGTGTCACTGATTCCCATAAAGTGTCAGTGTAAAAATGTCCGCCCCAATATTGCAGTCCCACTATAAGTCGCTGATTGCCACCATTACTAGTATAAAAAAAATTCCACTATATGTACCAGAGTTTGTAGACTCTATAACTTTTGCGCAAATTAATCAATATACACTTATTGGGAATTTTTTAACCAAAAATATGTAGCAGAATACATTGTTCTAAATTTATTTTTAACATTTTTAATTGAATAGGTTTTATAGCAAAAATAAAAAATATTATTTTCTTTCAAAATTGTCATTCTTTTTTTGTTTATAGCACAAAAAGTAAAAATCACAGAGGTGAATACCACCAAAAGAAAGCTCTATTTGTGGGAAAAAAAGGACGTACTTCAATATTTCATTTTGGTACAGCATTGCATGACCGCACAATTGTCAGTTAACCGCGCAGTAATGCAGCGTCATACCGCAAAAAATGGCCTGGTCAGGAAGGGGGGGGGGGTAAATCTTCAGGAGAACAAATGGTTATAATCATTCAAAATGTATATACGTTTTTTTTGGGACACACACACACATATGCGCAGTCGTGTTGCAACAGGAAGAGGCCATCCACAAAGTTAGGAAAATGTCTTGTTATGCTGACACCTTAAGAGTTCCTTTACTGGAACTAAGGGGCCAAGACCAACCTCTGAAAAACAACCCCACACCATAATCCCCCCTCCACCAAACTTTACACTTGGCACAATGCAGTCAGGCATGTACCATTCTTCTGGCAATCACCAAACCCAGACACGTCCATCGGATTGCCAGACAGAGAAGTGTGATTGGTCACTCCGGAGAACACGTCTCCACTACTCTAGAGTCCAGTGGTGGCGTGCTTTACAAGACTGCATCCAATGCTTTGCATTGTACTTGGTGATGTAAGGCTTGGACGCAGCTGCTCAGCCATGGAAAACCATTCCATGAAGCTCTCTACACACTGTTGTTGTGCTAATATGAAGGCCACACAAAGTTTGGAGTTCTTTAGCTATTGACTCTGCAGACAGTTGCGACTTGTGCACACTGTGCGCTTCAGCATGCGCTGACACTGATCTGTCATTTTACGTGAGCTTCTGTTGTTCCCAGTTGCTTCCACTTTGTTATAATTCCACTAACAATTGACCATTTAATATTTAGTAGCAAGGAAATTTAACAGATGGATTTATTGCACAGGTGGTAACCTATCACGGTACCACGCTTGAATTCACTGAGCTCCTGAGAGCATCCCATTTTTTATCACAAATGTTTGTAGAAGCAGTCTGCATGCCTAGGTGATTGATTTTATACACCTGTTACCATGGAGGTGATTGGAACACCTGAAGCCAATGAATTGGAGGGGTGTCCCAATACTTCTGGCAATATAGTGTGTGTGTGTGTGTATATATATATATATATATATATATATATATATATATATATTACTGTGCAAAAGTTACAGTTACAAAAGGTTTAGGCAGGTGTGAAATGCTGTAAGGTAAAAATGCTTTCAAAAATTTTAATGTTAATTGTTTATTTTAATCAATCCAAAAAAATCAAAGTGAGCAAACAGAAGAAAAATCTAAATCAAATGAATATTTGATATGAATACCCTTTGACTTCAAACCAGCAGCAATTCATACACTTGCACACTTTGTACAATTACACAAAGTCAGGGATTTTGTAGGATTAGAGTCAGGTGTGTAATTAACCAATTATACTAAGGAAGTGCTAATAATCATCAATTTCATATGTAGGTTGAAACACAGTCATTACCTTAAACAAAAACAGCTGTGTAGAAGGCCTAAAACTGGGTGAGGAACAGCGGA